GGAGGAATCGAACTCGGGTCGGCCAGGTCGGCCACATGCAAGGCAAATGCCCTACCCACTGTGCTATTACTCCAGCCCATATAAAATCTAAGAGATGAAAATGGATGTGATAGAACGGAAGTGAAAAGATCACTACGAATTTAGTGTCTATAAATTCGAAGAAAAGGATACAAAAATTGATGAGTGAACTATAGATTATGGTTCAAAACAGAAATGAATTGAAGACTAAATATTCCTTAATCACAGTTCTGGTCAGTGACCATCCAAGACCATACATAATCTGTTTAATCAAATAGGTAAAACTACTTTGGATGTCAATAAAATAGAGACCAGTGTCCTGAACAGCTCATATAGATCAATTCAGATATTATATAGAGTGATAAGTAATAGTTAGATACAGAGAAGGCTTGTGGAAATTTGTTCAGAACTTTTCTAACAAATAAATAATTAGGATGGGAGAGACTTTTAGCTATGGTAAGGAATGAGTAAAGATAGCCAGAAGGCATGAGTCTAAAATAAATAAAAATCATGAGTATAAAAAATTAAAATCTGGACTTAATTTCTGAAAACAGTATTGTGAATCTAGTAGGGCATTGATATCCGTTATAAAATGTGAACAGTGTGTAGTTGTTAATGTATAAATCACTTCCATTTGCAAGGAAAGATAATGTGTTTATAGAAGAAGTAAAAGAACCCAAAGACAAATTCGGATCTCTGGTCAGCTAATTTTTGATAAAATAGCTGGGACCATGTAATGGATAATGCTAGTCTCTTTAACAAATGGTGCTGGGAGAATTAGATGACCACATGTAAAAATAATGAAGCTGAATTTGTATCTCAAACTTTCCACAAAAGTCAACTAAAATTGAATCAAAGACTTTGAGATAATAAGTAGAACTCTAAGATCTGACCTCAAAGTTATTTTCAATCATATGATATCAATGGCAAAATCAACATAAACAAAAACAAGCAAATGAGTCTACATCAAAGTAAATAATTTCTACATACAAAAGACACAAGCTAAAACCAAAAGACACACACCGAAGAGAAAATATTTGCACTCAACATATCCGACAAAGTATTGATAGCAAGATATATAAAGTACTCATTAAGCTCAACAAAATTTCCAAAAATCTATGAAAAAATGGAAGAAGAAATTAACAGACACTTCAATGAAGAAGACATACAGATGGTCAAAAGACACATAAAAATATTCTTTTTTTATATTTATTTATTTTTTAATAGTGAGGCACCATGAGGTACAGTTGTAGATTTACACATTTTTGTGCTTGGGTTTCGATTATACAATGATCAACACCCATCCCTCCACCAGTGTGCATTTCCCACCACCACGGATCTCAGCATCCCCTCCCCCCCCCAGCCCCTATCCCACCCTGCCTCTGTGGCAGGGCATTTCCCTCTCTCTCCTTTTGAGTGCCATGGTCAGCAAAAGAGGCATTGAGTGGCAATCATGCTTGGTCGACAGTCTACCCCCAGCATGCTCTCCCATCATGGGTGGATCCTCCCAACACCCTTTATTTGGTGTTCCCTTCTCTTTCTGAGCTCCCCCTTCCCCTAACATGTGTGGTTGTCCTCCGGGTCATTGAGTAAAATTCCTGGTACTAATCTCTGCCATACTTGGGTGTTAGTTTCCTATTTTGTTACTTTATGTTCCCCAGATGAATGCAATCTTTCTATGTCTATCCCTTTCTTTCTGAGTCATTTCGCTTAACATGATACTTTCCATGTAGTACCACTTATATGTAAACTTCATGACTTCGTCTTTTCTAACAGCTACATAGTACTCCATTGTGTAAATGTGCCAGAGTGAGGAAAATGTTGGCAAAACCCTTCATGACATAGAAGCTAATAGTGTCTTCAAAGATGTCACACCGCTGGCCAAGCAAGTGAAAACAGAGATAAATAAATGGGACTATCTTAAACTAAGAAGCTTCTGCACCTCAAAAGAAACAGTGACCAAAATACAAAGACAGTCAACTGAATGGGAAAGGATATTCCCCAACTACACATCTGATAAGGGGTTAATTTCAAGGATATACAAAATACTGGTTCAACTCCACAAAAAGAAAACATTCAACCCCATCAAAAAATGGGGAGATGAAATGAATAGAAACTTTGACAAAGAAGAAATCGAATGGCTAAAAGACACATGAGAAAATGTTCCACATCATTAATCATCAGGGAGATGCAGATCAAAACCACAATGAGGTATCACCTCACACCACAGAGACTGGCCCATATCCACAAGAACAAAGGCAACCGGTGCTGGCGCGGATGTGGTGAGAAAGGGACACTCCTTCACTGTTGGTGGGAATGCCGACTGGTTCAGCCCTTCTGGAAAGCAGTATGGATGATTCTCAAAAAACTAGAAATTGAGCTCCCATTTGACCCAGCAATACCACTCCTGGGAATATATCCCAGAGAGGCAAAAAAGTATAGCCGAAGTGACATCTGCAATTGTCTGTTTATTGCAGCACTCTTTACAATAGCCAGAATCTGGAAAAAACCTGAGTGCCTGAGAACATAAAAATATTCTTATCATCACTTATTATCAGGGAAATCCAAATTAAGATGACAATGAAGTATCTCTCATCAGTGAGAATAGCACATATCAAAAAATCTGAGAATATTGTGTCCTTAAGGGATTTGGTGGGAAAGAAATTATATATTATGCTTCTCAGAGCACTCCACAAACTACCGAGAGTATTCCGCCCACACATCAGAGCCTGGCAAGCTAGCCATGGCGTATTCAATATGCCAAAAACAGTAATAATAATGGGTCTCATTCCCTTGACCCTGAAAGAGCCTACAATATGTTGAGAAAGATGAGTTAGAAGAGGCTGCTAAAATCTCAGGGCTGGGATGAAATGAGACGTTACTGGCACCCACTTGAGTAAATTGAAGTACAACAGGATGACAGTGATACAGTGATACAGTGATTTTTTAAGGTAAGATGATTTATGAAATTATTCATAATTGAGTTTCAGTTCTACAAAATATTTCAGTGCCAGTCTCGTCACCAGTGTCAACTTCCCTTTATCAATGTCCCCAGTTTCATCCCAACCCCCACCCACACCATAGTTTGTCTCCTACAAAAGCTCATTTTTAAATTAGTTGTTGTATGTTGGATATTCTGCTTTCAATGTTTCTGTTACTGTGATATATATTGCCAATATTCTATTTTAAGGTTAAAATAACTTTACACTTATTCTATTTAAAAATATTTTCCTTAATCAAACACAATTCTCTTAAATTTGTTTTTGTTAAATTTATTTATTGAATCACAGTGAGAAAAGTTACAAAGCTTTTAGGTTTAAGTCTCAGTCATGCAATGATCAAACACCCTTCCCTTCACCAGTAATTGTTTTCCACCACCAAGAACCCCAGTATGCCCCCCTCAACCCCTTCCAATTCCTGTGAGGCAGATGATTTCTACTTAACTCTCTACTTTGATTACATTTATTATTTTGACAAAACTTGCACCATTATTGTTTGGAATTTCCCCCCAATAATCAGAACTGCTGAAAAGGCATTGTAAAATAATTTGTATTCAATTGCTGGTTATCCTTTACCATTGCTGGTTATGAAAACCATATGATGTCAAGCAGCCGCAATAGTAGCTGCACGATTTTGGATTTCTGATATTTTGCTAATTAAGTCTGGAGGTATTTCTGCCAAGAGCCGGATAATTATGAGATTGATTTCTGTGTGTCTGGTGCCATGGCCGTGCTGGAGAGCTGCTCATAGGGGGCAACTCATGGCCTCAGTAGGGCGTGAAGGATGAGCCGGTTCGGCCCTCATCCCATGAGGCTGCAGTTGCCCCATCACTGCCGGCTCATACCTGGCTTTCCAATAAGCCCTGAGGTGGCGGCCATGGTGCTGCCGGGGAGAGGGGCAAGGTGAAGGCAAAAGAGACAGACAGACACCCTTTCCCTTCGGGGTGGGGGCATAGTGCCGTAATTTAATGCATTGTCCATTCACATTTCTGCCACAAGCTGCCAGGCTCTGGATTAGGTCCTTGTGCCTCTGGTGCCATGGCCGTGCCCTCTTAAATTCTTAAATGATAATATATATTTTTAAAGCACCTGGAAGAACTTTAAGAATATGTAAAAGGTAAAATTATTTACAAAAAAATATTTATGAAATTATTCATATCTGAGTTTCAGTTCTACAAAATGTTTCAGCGCCAGTCTCATATCACCTCATATATATACACACACGTATATATATACATATATATGTATATGTGTGTTTATGTATATGTATGTATATATCACATCCCTCCCCAACAGGTGTTTCTGAGGCCCCTGACCCCTAATCTTGTTAGCTTTCATCTTTTCTCTTGTTCCCAAACCCATACAATCCCCTGCCCAGTATTTTTCTTTTTTGTTCTCCTTCTTATGGTCTAAATTCAAGTGTGATCAGGGAACCACCATCTATTACCTTGCATTTCTCCTTCTGTTATTCTATGTACTACAGACGAGATCATCCTGTGTTCATGCTTTTTCTGACTTACTTCACAAAACCTTATATCCTCCAGTTCCATCCAAGTTGTAAAAAATCGCACAATTTCATCATTCGTTGTATCTAGATCGTAATATATTGGGCTGGAGCGATAACACAGCAGGTAGGGCGTTTGCCTTGCATGCAGCCAACATGGGCAACCTGAGTTCGATTCCTCCGCCCCTCTTGGAGAGCCCCGCAAGCTACCGAGAGTATATCACCTGCACGGCAAAGCCTGGCAAGCTACCCGTGACGTATTCAATATGCCAAACACAGTAACAAGTCTCAAAATGAAGACATTACTGGGCCTGCAAAGCAAATCCATGAACAACGGGAGGACAGAGAAAGTGTGCATATATACCATATCTTCATTATTCACTAATTTATTATTCTGCTCCTAGGTTACTTCTATATCCTAGCTCTTGATTTAAGTGCTTCAATGAATAATGGTGTCCATGTGTCTTTTGAATATATGTTTATGTGTTCCTAAGGGCGATCAGTCTGTTCTGCAGGTGGTCCAAGGCTTCCTCAAAGTCCCCGTACACGCTCTCCCCGATCACCTGGGGGTGCAGGTGCTCCGAGATGGGGCCAGCAGAGCAGTCGTAGAAGACCAGCAAGGGATCCAGGATGATCTGGAAGGAGTCCACGCTGAACTCAAACTGCCGCCGGATGGAGTCGACGAACTTCAGCTCCACATTCCTCCCATTCTTGTTGGAGAGGGAGATGAGGCTCCAGCGGTCAGTGTCCGTGCAGACCTTCACCAGCTTCTGGACGTACGCCTCCTTCAGAGTGACCGGGCTGATTTTGAGTTTGTTCACACCCTCGGGCAGGAAGTTCAGCAAGGAGCACAGCATCACATCCCTGACCAGCTGAAACTCGGCCTCCGTTGGAAGAGCCACGTGGAAGATCAGGTCCAGGTCTTTGCAACCCAAGCCATTGTCTTTGACCAGGACGTGGCCTGCAGCAGAACCATTCAGCCGGACATCCTGCACTTTGATACCAGCCTCCTCCAGCTGCCCGCGGACCGTCTGGACGATGTCCTTCAGAGTGATCTCCAAGGTCGGAAAGTTGCCTCGGCCATGAACGGGGACCACCTCGGTCAGGACCTCATGCAGCCGGCTCACCTGGTCCCAGCTAAGCACGCTGAAGGAGTCAGAATCCCTGCCACTGCCGCTCTCCTCTGCCATCTCGGGGTGTTCTTCCAGGTGAGCTGGCGGCAGAAGAGCAGCAGCTCCCTGCAGGAGCGGGGCAGCTAGAGGAGCCCCCGCAGCGGCGCCGAGTAAGTTAAGTGATTAAGTGATATATATATATTCCCAGAAGTGCTATTGCTGGGTCATATGGAAATACAATTTCTAGTTTTTTAAAGGAATTCCCATATTGTTTTCCAAAAAGGATAGAGCAATCAGCATTTCCAACAGCAGTAAGAGTCCCTTTCTCCCTGAGTCCACTCTAGCAATGGTTGTTCTAATTTTTTTGATGTGTGGCAGTCAATATGGTGTAAAGAAACATCTCACTATTGTTTTGATTTGCTTCTCCCTGATTATTAGCAATGTAGAGAATTTTTTCATGTTGGTCATTTATATTTCTTTGAGAAAGTTTCCATTCATTTCTTCTCCTCATTTTATTGATGGATTTGGAGGTCTTTTTCATATAAGTTTTTACCAGTGCCTTCTATATCTTGGATATTAAAACCCCTTATCTGATGACTATTTGGTAAAACACTCCTGAAATTCATATGGAACAATAAACCCCCATGAATAGCTAAAGCAATCCTTGGGGAAAAGAAGATGAGAGGCATCACCTTCCCCAACTTCAAACTATACTACAAAGTAGTAGTAATTAAAACAATATTGAAATAGAGACAGACCAATGAACCAGAGTTGACTATACTGACACGACCCTCATACATATGATCATTTAATGTTTGTCAAAGGAGCATAAATGTGAAGTGGAGCCTTTTTAACAAATGTCACTGGGAAAATTGCACAGCTACATGCAAAAGAAAAAAATAAATAAACGCAGACCTCTGTCTAACACCAGACACAATAGATCAAAATAGATTAAAGAACTCAATATCAGACCTGAATCCATAAAGTACATGGAGGAAAACATAGGCAGAACTGTCCAAGACATTAAAACTGAAGGCATCTTTAAAGATGAAACACCACTGACCAAGCAACTGGAAGTAAAGATAAACAAATAGGAGTACATTAAGCTAAGAAGTTTCTGCATCTCAAAAGAAACAGAGACAGGCCATGGGATGGAAAATTTTATTTACCCAAGTCTCATATACTCTTAAAGAGGTTTGTAAGACAGCACACTTGATTGCCTGTGTAAATAAGGATCGAATTAAGAGGCTTGATTATCAAACCCCTTGCTCCTCATTTTCTCTGTAACACTTGAACAGCCACTTTATATAAAGGCATATACAAATGGACTGTAAGCACATAAAAATATGCTAAGAATTATTGCTATTAGGAATAATACAAACTAAAATAAAATAATATACTGTAACTCTGTAGCACTGTTCTCCGTTGTTCATTGATTTACTCGAGCGGGCCCTGTAACTTCTCCATTCTGAGACTTGTTGCTGTATTTGGCATATCAAATATGTCACGGGTAGCTTGCCAGGCTTTGCCGTGCCGGACTCTCCGAGAGGGGCAGAGGAATCAACCTGGGCGGACCAGACCTGGGCCGACCAGGTCGGCCGCGTGCAAGGCAAATGCCCTACTGGCTGTGTTATCGCTCCAGCCACATATGTTATTTAGGAAATGTAAAATAGTAAAGGAATTTCTGAATATATAGACTACCTCTATGGCCCAATAATCATATTCTGAGTATATGTTTAAGAGAAATGATTTCGTAGTGCATGAAAACACATATCAAGGGAAGTGAAGTCTTGAATAATGTGGTTGGAAGATTTTACAAGATATATGGCCTCTGAACTATTGATTGTAAACTTGAATATGACCCATTTTTTTTCAGAAGATGACTGAAATCTCACTAGAGAAAATTTGATTTTGTAGTAGTGGGACTGAGTTCATGAGTCTAAAACTTTATCGTGTGTCCCAAAATAAGTCTGATGTAGGGGCTCCCAGATTTCCACATCGAGTAAGATTTTACTTAACGTTTACATTGCAGGTAGAATAAAAAATCATGGAGGTATTACTGCATCACAAAAGAAAATGTCACGCTTTTGAGTTGTGTCTACTTTCACTGTAGATCTTCAGAGTTGTAACTTTCAACACGAACAAGTAGATCATCTTTTCTAGTGATGAAATCAGAAGGCTATTGTGAACGTTGGCAAAAACACAATCATGAATATGTCTGATCACTACATAAAATATGATTTTTGGGAGCAGTTCGTAAACAAAGATGTGACTACTGAATTAGAACACAGGCTGATTCTACACAGCACTTTAAATTTCAATGCATGCTTCATTATAATTTTATTAATTTTTGCACTTATTATCTTTTGCTTTAGTCTTATTGATTAGCAAGAGTAAATATTTAAATTGGTCTCTCACCTGAGATAGCTTTTATAGAAGAAGCGAAGCTGTATCTTATTTTAGTAGTCTAAGTACCTAGTATAGAACATAGCATACACCTATTCATTCTCAAGAGTTTATTTTACCCTTGAACAAATGTCTAAATTTCATCAAGAAATTTCAGGAGGAAGTAAAATAATGAACAATTATTTGAGGGAAAAGTGTATACATGCTAGAGTATATGTGCATATAAGTAAGATGGGAATGACCTTGACAAACCAGGAAAGTGTTTTCATGGGCAAGGAACGGATGAACACCTATCATACTGTCATATTTGCGTACACTGTTAGTATATTTTATAAGGATATGCAACCATGATAAAGGTTAAGATTTTGGTTTGTTATATTTTGGAATTGAACATAATAACCATCTCAGGGTAAAATGCTTATTTCCTATGAGTGATTAATTAGACATTACCCAACTGTGTGTTGTCAGTATCAAGTATTTCTGTCATCAGATTTTAAAAGAACTTTTTATCTTGTTTCTGCATGGGAATAAGAAATTCAATAACCATGAATATTTCAAAGTGTTTATAATTAAAACTTCATGTGCTTGGCAAGAAAACATGTTTCAAAGATTGAGCCAATTGTTTGCTGATTCTGCTGTCAGTCTGCAGTCGTGCATGCTAACAGCTGGCTAGAAAACATCGCATGATATTGCTTCTCAGTCACCAAGGAAGTAATGAAGTCTCTCTCCGGAAGGCTAGCTGGATTAATATTCAAGGCAGAGTTCAACAATCACACTGTGTTCTCTATTATCATTTTTATTTAGGATAAAATAAGCTCACCTGGAGAGGAACATAAACTTTCCCCATGTTGAGCCATAGAATGATCTGGAGGTCTTCCTACTTCCCGGGTTAAAGGAAGGGAAGTCAGCATGGAAAGATGTCTTTGAGATGGAACATGTGTCCTTGTTCAAATTTAGGTTGTGTGGTGATGAATGGGAGTTCAGATAGAATTATACATGCTAGTGATCATGTGCTCCACCTTTATCAAGACCCCGGGGAGGTGAAGAGTTTCCAAATCTTTCCAATGTGGGTCCTTGTTTTTGACAGTAGAATAAAGTCTACACTCCAAAGCAGTCAAAGTGAACAATTAGAAAAGCATGGAGTGCTCACTTTGGCAGCACATATACTAAAATCGGAACAATACAGAGAAGATTAGCATGGCCTCTGAGCAAGGATGACACACAAATTCGTGAGGCGCTCCCTATTTTACGCTGGGGGAAAAGGCAGCTCAGATAGAGAAGGGACCACGAAGTAAAGTGTTCTTGGAGGGCCTGTTTGGAATGGGAGATATGTGCTAAGTAGACTATAGACCGAACCTTATGGCCACTTAATACCTCTATTGCAAACCACAACACCCAAAAGGAGAGAGAGAGAGAGAGAGCAAAAGGGAATGCCCTGCCACAGAGGTGGAACGGGGTGAGGGGGATGGGATGAGGGTGGTGGAAGGGATGCTGGGACCATTGGTGGTGGAAAAAGGGCACTAGTGGAGAGATGAATACTCGATCATTGTATGACTGAAATGGAAGCACAAAAATTTGTAAGTCTGTAACTGTACCTCACGGTGATTCACTAATAAAATATTTAAAAAAAAAGAATAAAAAAGAAAAACATGGAGCAAGTTGTGTAGAATTAACAGGCATTCATGGGGACTGTAGCACAATGAAATAACACCTTTGAGTCACTCCAAGGCCACCATGCCAATTGCCAAGTACCATCTTCCTGCCAAGCATCACACAAAGGGAATTATCCAAATGCCTTGTTAGAAATTTGTATGGCAACTTTTAGAACTCTAATCCATGGTTTCAAAATATCAACCGCAGACAGTAGGAAAACTCATAAGCTTCATTTATTTCATAATTCAAGTGTTCAAAGAACAAAGCCCTGATAATGATCATTAGACAGATGGGAAAACTGATGTTTGGAAGGATGTGGGAGCCCCACCCCATGCTTCTCGTTCCCTCATGAGTGCAACCTTGGCTGTGTTTGCTACTTTCTCTGATCGGCCCCTGTGATCTCATTCATTACTCTCTGATTGTCGAGTGACTGATTTCTAAGACTTTCTGATCCATCCCTGCTCTCTGTTAGATTAGAAAGCTCCATTTCGGGGAGCAGCTTTAATTAAGTCATTGCTAAGGACAGCGAGCCAAGGGCCATTTAATTTACAGATACAGGGCTCCTTTCTTGTCTCTTTTCCAGTCTATAATTATTTTTGTGAGGGAATAAAGGTTCAGGGTAAAGGACTCAACTCTATACAATTTTCTCTAATTCTCAACCTAAGACGGTCTGAATGATTTCATATTTGATCGATTTTCAGAATTAGGCCACACACTTGTTAACTTCTATAAAACAAACGTGTCAGACCTTCAGTTCAGGAGCCCTACTCAGCATATATTATTATTAGGTATTATTTACGCAGATTGGAATCTTAGTGCCACCCAGCTTAAGGGCTAATATTCCGTGTTGATCCAAACTTGCAAGATCCTTGGAGCTGTTTATAAGATCGTGTGCAGTCTGACACTGGTCTTGCAGTTCTAAGCACCCAAATATCCACCTCCCCCAAACACTGCAGTTCCTTTATTTTTTTTTTAATTTTTTATTGGTGAATCACCATGAGGTTCAGTTACAGATTTAC